TTTTTGATTCACTACTGGAGGAGTATATGTTTCTAGGAATGTATTCATTTCTTCCAAATTGTCTAATTTGTTGGTATATAATTGTTCATAGTATTTTTTTATAATCCTTTATATTTCTGTGATGTCATTTGTTGCTTCTCTTTCATTTCTGATTTTATTTATTTGGGTCCCCTTTCTTTTTTCTTGATGAGTCTGCTGAAAGGTTTATCAATTTTGTTTCTCTTTCAAAGAACCAGTTCTTGGTTTCATTGACCTCTTGTATTTTGCCGCCCACATCATTTTAAATTGCTTTTTTGTGCTGGATAAATTGGGGGAAAAAGTAATTTAAATAGCTTTTAGAAACATAATGGAAAAAATAAATGAAATTTATATTTCCTAAAACAAAGAAGCTTTTTTCCCCCATACCCACAATAAATTTGTCACATTTCAAATAAATCTAAGGATAAATAAATTTGATTGTTGACCATGAAACAAAGCATAATGATAACTATAATATTAAAAAGTGGCTTTATATTATAGTTTTTTCTCCCTTTCTACTGTGTTCCCATCAAGATTCCCAATGCACAAACTAAAGAAGAGTTTTTTTGCTGAGGAGATTTTAAAACATAAGGTTAATTTTTCTTTCTCTGTGGAGATCTGCAAATTGACATGAGTTTAGAGTTGTATACCTTGTTTTTTTTTTTTAAGAGAGACAAGTATTATTACAGATTTTTGAAATTATAAATTCAATTGATCTGTAGATCTATTATTGCTTCTCATTACTTCTGCCGGCGACAGGAATAATTAGAAATGTGTATCCTTTTTGTGTGCGTGTAAAAGATCTTTGTAATAATCAATTTTTACAACATCCTTATTAAGCAGCTTTATATTGTAATACCCAAGGTCACAGATATTAAAAAGATGTTTTGAATTTTTGGTTATGTGCTTAGATCATAAAGTTCCTAATATGTTTATGTGGTTCTAGGCTTAGATAAATGGAGGTGGTAGAGAGGATAGTAGGGAGAAACTAGAAGGTTGGGAGGGAGATGGAGTTGTGTGTAATGGAGAAAGAAGAGCAGAGTGAGTCTTGTTTGGGATATGATGAGTTAGAGGAGTCAGCAGGTTATCTAACTGACAGGGTCTGATATGAAGCAGAAGCTATGTGACTGGAGCTGACTTAGATCAGAACTCAAGAATGCGTGAGCCATTGGAAGAGTGAGATAATAGCCCTAACATGCTTGTTATCACAGATCAAATGGTAACTAGTATAAATATTATTTTTTAAAAAACAACCATGGCAAGCTTCAAGCTTATAAGGAAGAGAGTAATTCAGATATCATTTCATTACTGTCAATCAATACTAGATAATTATAATTCACAGGAATGATTCAGTGGGATGGTGGTAGGAGGAATAACTTCTCTCTGACAGATTCTCTCTGAATAATACAAGCAGACACTTTGTCTTTGGGAAATCCAGAGAATCTGAGTTGCCACCAAGAAGTCACTGCTCACTGCCCCTTTCGCAATGTATATAAAAAATTTGTTTGTAGTTTAATTATGTAGCTATCAGGGTTTCTTTTTTTCTTTTTTTTTTCTTTTTCCTGTAATATCATTATTAAAGACTACAGCAAAGCACTTTTAAACTGTATTGATTTTTCATAGATTCAAATATTTTTTCCTTTAGTATATTCACTAGATTCACACTCAGAAAAACATACAATAAAAAAGTCTTATTTTCCTCCCCTAGCCTCTAAGTTTCCCTCTCAGAAGAAACCAACATTATCAGTTAAAAAAAAAAAAAAAAACCCGACTTTTTTTTGAGGGTTTGCTGTTACATTACAAGGAAGAAAAACTAGTAACTGAGTTTTATATCATAGTTCCTTAGGAAGGCATGGCTATTAAACTATAAAGTAATGTTATATCATTACGAAGTATACATTTGCTCTCTGGTTTGTAGTTGTTACTAACCCATGAAGGAAGTCTTATAATAAAACTTTGTTATATTCCATCTCATATTTGTTGTTAAGGTCATATAATTTTTAAATAACTTACCCTTAAGAACTGTGGGCACACACCCAAGTGTCTGCAAATGATTAAATCTATAATTTGCATGGAGTCAAGAGTGACTGCCCCGGAAAGGGGGTATTTCACTAATATTATAATATTCTATTAATTAGAAAACACTCCAATTCTTACCAAAAGATTAAAAAAGAAATTCAGAATTTCCTGTATAAAATGTCAAAAGAATCACATTCCTGGAAAAAATTGTAGAACAATTTTTACTGTATCTTATTTTTAATTTAAAGTTTTAAAGTTGATAGTGACCTACTAAAGCAACAGGAATATTTTAAAAATCATAGTATTCTAGGAAGGAAAAAAGCAAGTTTATTTTCCTTGCAAATTCATGTCTAGCAACAGATAAATGCAGACATCTTTCCACAAGGCTATTTCCAAATTTGCAATATTCATTTCTTTTAGTATCTCAATCTTTAGCTGAGCTTCGACTGCACAACTGTGTAGGGGAGAGGTAACCTCATCTTCAGTTTAAGATAATACCTCAATTAAAGTGGTTTAGTAAAGATTCAAAAACATTTTATACCAAAGTTCAATAATGTAAACCAACTATACGATGGAAAGGATCCCAAACCTTGCATTCTTTGAGCCCTCATGACTTGGATAGAAAATGACATAAACAAGACTTAGCTTAATGTACATTAAATATGACACAAAAATGTTAATTAGCAGCATAAAGGCTGTCTCAAAACCTAAGGAGATAAATAGGAAGTAAATTTAGAATCATAAGATTTCTAAAGAACCTTAGTACTACTGCAGAACCTAGAACTTGAACCTAGGTAATCTGACAATTAAATCAATGCATTCTGCACTCTAATAAGTGCATGTCAGAAGATAGTTTTCTAATTTTCTTTGAGATTATTTTATATTCTTCTATTGATGAATAATTTCCAGGAAGTTTTGTCTAAATCTCTAGGTTACTTGAGTGCTCCTCTTCAGGGTTCCCAAACACCTTGTGCCCAAGTTTAACTCTTTAGTACAACTTGTTGACTTTTGAGGTGCCTGTCTTCCCCCTACTAGACTGTTAACTGCTTCAGAGCTGAGACTGACTCTTAATCCTCGTATACTCTAGTAACTAATACAGTTCTTTGCAAGTACTGAATAGGTAATCAGAAATACTAGTTAAATTGATCTTTCTTTAAAATCCTTTAAAGATTCCCCATAATCTGACCTTTGCCTACTAGATTCGCATCCCCAGATTAACACATCAAATTGCTCTTAGTTTTAGTTCTGTGCAAAAATCAGTTTCTCATTGCATGGTTTTTCAAGTAATCCCTTTCTTCTTTTATCCTACCCCCTTTACCAACACACCTGCCCCACCCCACTCCACCCCCGCCTTATTTCACTAACTTTCAACTTTCTGAAATCATTTTTCCTGGAATTCTATCCTGACTCATGACTTTTCCCAACCTAAATTGGATTAATGCTCGTCGTGAGTTCCAGTAGTTCCCCAAGTGCATATCTCCACACCACACCATACCATCGTGAAGTAATTATGAAAAAACTCCATCCAACTCATTTTATTCATGTTGATATCCTCCAAGATTAGTACACATAGATGATTTTAAAATGTGATTTGCATAAAAAACAACAGGTAACAGGGAAGTAATCTTGACACAGAGTGTATTTTTAGGGAAGGCATAGTTGTAGAAATGCAAATAATTGGATATTTAGTATATTTTCCTGAGACAGAACTAAAAGAATAGAAAAGACTTGCAATTTTAAGGCTACAAGTCAAATCACAAAACAAACAACAAAGGCCCTTATGAGAGGACAGTAAAATGGTATTTGGCTAATTAAAAAAAAAAAAAAGACAGATTAGGAACCAGGAAAGCAAGACATAGACTGATTACCATAGGACAATGGGCACTTAAAATTGTTAAAAATACATAATCAAATGAAGAAAACCCAGAGGTTATATGCAAAATCTGCTCCCCATGTTGCCTAAACTACAAGGCATCACCATTATTCTCAGATCAGTACACAAAGCTTTTTCTTTCAAATTCATTTTTATTGTTAAAATATACATAACAAAACTTACCATTTAACCATTTGTAAAAAGTACAGTTCAGTGCCATTAAGTGCACTCATATTGTTGTACAACCATCACCACTATCCGTCCTCACTTTTAACACACACACACACACGCTGCAGCTGCGATTTCCTACTTTTCATTATCTTCGCTTTAGTAACATACTGAGCTTTATGCACCACAAAACGTTCTGCTGGAATCCATTCAGAAACTGGGATGGGTGATATGAATCACTGAAGGATTATCCTTCACAGGCTATCCAAATCTTAAGATTTCTGTTAATGGAACTTAAGATCTAAAGACTTCCCCTCATTGCCCCTCTCTCGCCCTTTTGCGCATCAAAAAAAAAGAAAGAAAGAAAAAAGATAGGTAACCATAGCAACACCCACATCTGTGCAAAAAAATGCAACCGAGTCCCGGAAGGCAGCTATCAAGAGCCGGCTTCGACCTCCCGCAGCTTCCTTTCTACGGCCCAAAGTGAGCAGCGCACGGACCGAGTTCTTCATCTAGGAGTGCAGGCAAGAGGTGAATAAGAGTCAAGAATTAAGAATAATGTGAAAAACATAACTAAAGTCATAGTACTCCCTCTTTTTGCCTGCCACTGGCTTCCTACTCTTCGGCGTAAACCACTTGGCCTCCAGTCTCCTTCCCTTAAATCCGCACGCAGCCTGGCCCAACTGTTAGCACTCGCGCTTTTTATTGACGCAAACCTCCCATTCTCGCGGGAACTTGCGAGCGGGAGCCGCAAAGGTCGGACACATCTCTCGAAATCTTGGTTGGAGCTCGTGCTGGAGCCCCGGTTGAAGGGCTTGGAGGGAGGAGGAGGGGCGTGGCGCACGGCTTGGAAAGGGCGGGGCCTAGCCCTAGAGAGGGGCGGGAACAGGCAGGAGGGGGAGGTGAGAAGAGGCTGGGGGGCGGGGCCACGCGGTCCGGGACCTGTTGATCGCAGGTATCGCCGGCTGGCTCGGACTACCGCGGGACTGGGGCGAGTGCGCATGCTCGCGGGCCGCGCTGGGCCAGTCGCGGAGCGGCGGTGACGAACCGTCTCCTCCGCTGCGGTGGTGGCGGTTGCTGCGGTGGTGGCGGTTGCTGTGATGGCGATGTGAGGGGCCCGAGGCGGGATGGTGCTGACCTGGGTAGGGCTGTCTTCTTCCAGTGGGAGAACGAGCTCCTCCGTCCGACAGGCGGTGGAGGAGGCCGAACCCGGCGAGAGGTAAGCCCCTGACTGTTTTCTCCGTCTCCCCTGGCTCCCGACACCCACGACCCCTCCCTCCGTCCCTGTTTCCCACGGGCCCGGCAGGAAGCGGCCTCCTTCTCGTCTCCCTCTCGTCCGCTCCAGCCTCTCACCCGCTGCTCCCGGTGAGAGCCCGGGCCTGGGCCCGCTGAAGGTCGGTGGGGACGGCGGTGCAGAGTGCGAGGGGCCGCAGCCGCCTCTTGCCCGGTTCTCCCTGCCGCCCCTGCCCCAGAGGCGCGTCCCTTGGCCGGCTCTTCCAGAACCTCACTTCTCTTATTTCTCAGACTTCCTTGCCTTTCGCCCGCTGCTCCATCCTCGCTTCTCTGTCGGATCGCTACCCTCTTTTCTTGGTTCTGCTCTTTCATCTCCGCCTTCCACGTGCCTTTTCGTCCCGGTGGTCCCTCGGTTTAGGGTAGTGTATCCTTTTGCTCTCCTCGATTTCTTCTCCCCTCACTGTGCATCTCTAGTCTGGCTCTTCTTACCCAATGCTCATTACCTTCACCGACCAGGTTTCTCATTCTGTTGCCTCTATAATTTCTTCCTTGGCTGTCTTTTATTCTCATATTCTTCCTTCAGATACTTCATCTTCGTTGTCTTTTGTTAGTTTCTGATTGTGCGTTTTGCTTTAGCATCGCTTTGCGCTAGAGTTTATTCTGTGCCCCACCATACCTTCGGAGGCCCTCACTTCCTTAATTCTTAGCTCTCTTTTGGTACCCAATTTCATCGCTTTCCGTCTAATGCTCCCTCCACCCCCCACCCCCGTCCTTACATCTTTTTCCATCCTAATCCCATTTCTAATCTCTAGTCTTGATTTTTTTCTTTTAAAAATCTATTTTTGTTTTTTTCTGTTTGCTTAGGTCGAGTCTTTTAACTTCAATCGATTTGTTTTACTTTTTGTTAAAACTCTGAAGAGTTCTAGTCTCTTCTGCTTTCTACCTAAGATAGATATCCACTGAAGATTCTTAGTTCAGCTTCCAATTTAATAAAATCTCTTCATCTTTCTTCACTGGCTGGAAGTATCAAAAGAGTGACAGTAGCAATAACTTGTTACACTTACTGATTGAAGCTTTAATTTTTAAGAATTATGTTTACCTGACATGCCAGGAGAAACAGCTTGAGTACAGACTTTAAAGCATGAAGAATTAAGGTTTGTTAAAGACTGAGCTACAAGCATAAGATTAAAATTTGGAAATTTTATTGTCCTCCAGGAAATACAGTTGTCCAAGAATTAATCTTAAATGAAATTTAATCGTTTATTTTATAAAATTATATATTAATTTTTACGCATTTGCTATTTCAGTTGTTTGTATCATTTTCCTTATGGTCTCTGTTCTCTTTAATAAATGTGTACAGTTTCTACTAACTTAAGAATAGAATGTGTGTTTATTGACAGAGAAATATGTGAGAACAAAAGTATGAATTTTTAATTAGGCAGAAGAACTTTCTAAACAGTTTTGGAGATTTTTTTCTCCCCATCTCATCGTGATCAAAATTTGGCTTACATGAATCTTGTCTCTGCATAAACAATGATATAGTATCTTATTTTGAAGTCATCTGCTGAAGTCTTCAGTTAAATTGCTTTCAGTTATTCTAGGGTTGAAGATCAGCTGGATTATGTATTTCTTTCTGGCATTTCAGAGTATAGAGTAAATTCTTTGTTATGTTGTCTATGTCAGATGGGAATTAAACTTCTTTGTTTCTGTTGTTCAAAGGGAAACACCGAGGCAAAAAAGTATAGTTCCTTATTCAAAATGATAGTAGAGATAAAAGTAGAGGGAGATACAGTTTAAGATCTGATGTCATTAAGCCACACCTCTTTTGGAAGAACCAGCAGTTATTGTGTATGGTTCTAGGTGATGAGCTCCTCAGCTTTTAAGATTTTTAAAAGTTATTTTTCTAGTACAAATAGAAATAACTACTGCTTCTGAAGGTAGCTTTTCCTCCTTTCAAAGGTAAGACTTTTTATTTTTAGGTAGCTCTTCGTTTAAAAGGTAAATGCTTACAAATTCTTGTTGATATTTTTTAGTGGATTGATTCTGTGCTCTTAGGAATTAAAATAAGGATTCATGGTTGATAGCAGCTATAGGACTAGAAGTCAGAGGATCCAAACTCTTATGATGACTCATGACATGAGTTTGTAGAAGCCATTTAACCTCTATGGTTCATTATCTTTACCTGTAATACATGGGTAAAAAAGGTGGCCACCCAGTAATCAATCTTTCAGTAGCAATGTAAGCCATAATCATTTAAACATGCTTAAGGCCACCACGGACAAAAATTGCTATATAAATACTTAATTTGTATCTCTTTTAGACTATATAGTAAGAGTATAATTGAAAGCTTAAGTCCCAAATCACTGGAATTTAGATTCTTTTTTTTTAAATTTCAGATTTCTGTGAAAAGTCAAGTAAAATGCTGTGAACTGTGGACTCGCTTAGATTAATGTTTGGATACAGTGAAAGAGATACTGCAGCATTCAGTATGTAGGATGGATGTGCCCTTTGCTAGGATTTGACACTGAAAATGTAAGAGTTATACATATATCTTTAGTTTCCTCCAAAACTTCTGTTGTCTCATATTTTAGCTTTGTTTACTGTAGATACAAACCCTTGAGAATGGGGGTGGTTTAGGACAGGGGTCCCCCAACCCTCGGGCAGCACAGACGAGTACTGGTCCATGGCCTGTTAAGAGCCAGGCAGAACAGCAGGAGGTGAGTGGCGGGCAAGCCAGCAAAGCTTCATTTGTATTTGCATCTGCTCCCCAGCGCTAGCATCACCACCTCAACTCCGCCTCAGATCATCAGGCATTAGGTTTTCATTGAAGCACCTGTCTCTGGTGCCAAAAACCACTGGTTTAGGGGATAGAAAAGGCGAGAATTTCCTTTACTTCAATTCTAGATATTGAGGGAAAACTGCTTAAAAGTGAATTTTGCGATATGTACATATATTTTTAAATAAATGGATGGAGATGGAACCATATAGATCTGAAGTGAGTAGTGTTTTGTTTTTCTTGAGTTGTTTGTCAGGAAGAAGGTTTAGAAATGAATAAGAATAAGAAGCAGAGGTGATAAAGAAGAAAGTACTCTTAATGGACCCAGTGGTTTGTCAGAAAAATTATGAAGCACAAGTTGTTAGCTTTAGATTTTTCAGAAGGAAAAGTGTGAAACAACTTCACAGTGGGTTTCACCATTTTAACAGGTACATGCGTGGTTACCAGTGATGTGTTAAATTTAATAAAAATTAGCCTCTTTTTTCTTAACAGGAATATAAAGGTGTTAGACATATACTATTAAGAGATGTCTCCTACTTGAATAACCCCTTAGGTGGTTCTTATTCTGATGAAACAATTTTTATGAACTATCTTTCAACCAAGAAAGCATTCTGAGAAAATTATAGCATATTTCATTTTATGGAATTAGGTCTCACCAACCATCTGTAATACAGAAAGTATGTCTAAATTATGTTGTTAACATAGATGTCTTTTATTGATGGTATTATGTTCTTTTAAGTTTTATGAAATGTATTTTTGCTGCAGTTCTCAATATAATACAGTTCTGAACTAGAAGTATTCTTTTATTGAAATCTCCTCGAAATTGCCTTTTAGGATGCAGCTGCTTTATTTATGATTGTTTTTAGAGTACTGGTATCTCTGATACCTGCTTGTTGATGTCTGCAGGTTGCCAATAAGTTATGGGCTTCAACTGGAAATACATAATGCTAACTGTAAATGTCTAAGCAGCAAGATCAGGGTTTATTATCACAGTTTAAGACCTTGGAAGCCTATATTCCCTTTGCCATTATTTTGTCTTTCAGAATTGAGAAACCCAGATTTTAAAACCACCCTCATTCTTACTCAGGTCTAAAGACTGAAAATTAGTTACTTTCCTCTGGCAGATAAGATTAGAATTTAGGCTGTCACCAGCCTTGTTATGTAAAATTAATAACTTATTTTATGTTGAAGTATAATGATTATATAATATAATGTTTGCCAAAGGCCCCATTTTGGTAGAAGAATTCTGAAATTGTCCTCTAGGTAGGGGTAGCCAGAGAAATGTCAATAAGGAATGAAATGAGTAGAAAAATTCTTTGAATATAGAGTTGAAATATTTACCATCGTCTTTTTTTTTTCCTTCTGGTTTTCCCAGCACCTTAAGAACTTAATTGGAAGCCACCTCTTTTCTCTTTAAGAACCTATGGCCTATGAATGAAAATGTTTTCAAACCATGCAATCAAAACTTATAATAATAACCTATTTAGTTGAGTTGCATTGTTTCGAATAGACATTTTCTTGAATGAAATAATGATTAAAAATTAAGATAAAAGAAAACATAATGTCAACAATTTATTGAGCACCAAGTGCCATGCTAAGTGTTTTGTATAAAATTATATATAATCTTTTTAAGCCTTGCCTTTTGACTTAGCAATTATAAATATTATTTTTGTTTGAGAAAACTGAGGCTTAGAAAGTCTGAAATAGAATACAGGCCTGTCTGATACCAAAGTTTACAATATTATAGACCAAATAAAGCAAGAATGCAAAGGCAGTTAAGGAAACATTATCTGTTTCTTAGAATACTATTCAGAGAGAGAATTTTAATTCTTGTTCTGAGCTTTTTTCTCTGTTGAGATAACTAATAAGGTGAAATATTTTAAGGAATGCTAGGCAGATCTCTGAACTAGGTAATAGATGATTAGTTTTGATAGTAGTGGTTTTTCTGCATTTCTCTTCATGTTAAAAGGAGTAACTAGTCTTTGGTACCCTGGGTTTTTTAAGGTATATAATAACATAATATATTCAAAGGCATTTTGTATTATGTTACTGGTAGGTTTGTTTTATGTAATAATGTGTCCCTGAAAGTTTATATAAACTGCTTTTGATAAATTAAATCATTTTCCATATAATTTCAGATGTAGCTTTCATTAAGTACCTATAATGAGCAATAAAAGTTCTGTTTCTGTACTTCATTCTCGTGTACTAAGTCAGACATAGAAATGTTCTCAAAAGTTCCTAACATTCTTTCTACATTATCTTTAAAAATTATTTTTTCTATGGATTTTCTATCATTAACACAGTTATCCATAATTAACAGTGTTCTGTTTTGAGTGCTTCTTAATCTGTTAGTTCTAATATTAGTAATAATATATTTCTCTTTTATTAGACAACAACTATTTAAACCCAGATTTCAAAGAAATTAATAGAGAACAGTGCCTTTAAAACTTTAGATACTGTGTTTGTGGGTATAGGATGTCAGAAATTTAAACATTTCGTAATTAGAGAATGATATTAATTACATGGAAAATTGACTATAGTTATTTTATCAAGTGTGAATATTTTCATCATTGTTGCATTCTGTTTCAGTTTTTCTTTTAGTAGGGGCATATTTATCTCATGGCTTGATGATCATTGAATCTATTTCCTATAACAATTCAGGTGTAGACTTTAGAACTGTGCAAATTTAAATATAAATCAACAGTTTTACACAGTTGAGGCTTTTGTCCTTTTTCCATTATTTCCTAACTGTGTGACCTTGGATATTTAAACATTTTTCTCCTTAGTTTCCTCACCTGTAAAATGGAGTAATGATAGCTCTTTCAGTTTTTTATGAGAATTAAGTGAAATAACATAGTTAAAGTTACTAGTGTAAGAGTTGGTGCTCCAAAACGTTCTGAGTATCTATGTTTGCTTTCTATTTGATATTGATATTTGATCTATATTTGGTATCAAGAGGGAAACATAGCTTTTTAAAAGTTTGTCTCACAAGCTATTCTCATTATCTTTTCTTTGAAGATCTCTCTCTTCTTTACTTCCCCAAAGAGAAGAATTTAGTATTATGTTCTCTTCTTAAATTATTTCTATAATTTCTGTAGGAGTTCATTTTGATGACTAAGGAGTAGGAGCAAAAGTATCTATACCGATGATTTTTCTTTACATGTCTCCTCTACTGTAGTGATCCTGATAAACTCATCTTCACTGAATCACTTTTTTAAATGAGATATGTCACTGATGAAAGTGCGTTGTGCATATGAATAATTGAAGGCAAAAAGGTTAAACGCCATCTGAGTAATGGTGATCTTCAGAGTCAGAAAAGTGACAGGTGGCTTGGCCGCTTTAGAGCAGGATATAACCCAATGACTTAGCATGTTTAGCCCCCACTAGAGTGAGTTTACAAAACTGGGCAGGGTGTCAGGTCCTCAGTCAATCATAAAGGAAACTGAATGTAAATTGAGAAATAAGACCGTAGCTCAGATATTTAGACTGAACTAACCAACGCAAACTTAACCAACTTTAGGTGGCCAGAATTACACCAGATAGAAGGGTCAGAAACTAATCCAGATATCACTGGCTGATTGTTCTCAGTTTATAGCTGTATGGTCTGACTTGGTCAGAATTAGTTTAAGGACTGTGAGGATCTGAGCCTGTATGGATTGGAGTTCTGCTATGCCTTAGGTAAGTGAGAGTTAGGAAAGATGGCAGCTGAGCATACCTTCTCCCAACTTTCTACTCTTCTCAGTTTGCTACAGAACTTGGCTGTTACAAGAACCTTTTATTATTCACAAGGTTATGAGAACAGCATTCTGAAGGCTTTTGTGGATGCCTCTGTTTTGGGCTTCCTGCTTATTCACTGAGAGAAGCCCCAAGAAAATGGACCCAAAATTGACTAGCTACTATTAAATCGATGAGTTAACCTCCTTGTAGATCTAGAGGATTTATTTGTTCTCATCATATTCCTATTTAACATACTTGAATTTAACTGTACATATTAGATGCTTTTTCCTCCATTGGTCTCAGATCCCAAGTGTCGGTCTCAGTCCTCGCATATCTGTCATAGTGTGAGCCCCTCATCTAGTTGAGCATGAATTTGATGTTCCATCATTTGATATCAGTTACTATATACCTGTCATAATGTGAGCTTCTCACTACGAGTGTGAACACTTAAAGATGTATATATTTTTGTAAAATGTGGCCCCTAAATGCAAGTTTACTATATTATCTAGTGTTCAGTCGAAGAAACAGTGAATTTTTTCTTAGAGCTGGAAGAAAAAGTGAATATGTTTTACTCATTGAGAAATGATATATTGATTGCCAACATGGAACCTTTCTAAGGGATTTTTAAGAGTAAATTAGTTCTATAGGTGATTTTTGCCTTTTGTGGTATCTTTAGTAACTAACTTTAGTATAAGATTGGACATCATTATTTGGACTGTCAGTATTACAGGCTCTGAACCCATTTGTCTCACAGCTGCTAACCTGGGAGTATAATTCAGAAACTGAAGCTCTGGGCTCCATAATTGATAGAAATGATCGCTTTATGCCTTAGGGATTCCGGAGGGAGTGTCTGGAATCTCCAGTTGATTCAGTTCCTTTACCCTTTGCCTTAGGAGAAAGAGCAGCCTTACAGCATCTAATTTGAGTTCATAGTTCAGGAGTCAAGGCTGTTATTTTTTTTATTTCTGTGAGGGGATCTGATTGATCATCCCCTGTGGTCTCCAGTCCATCTTGAGGAATTTCTGAGCTATGTGTCTTA